GTTCCTAAAAACTAATTTGTTATTGCTGTGTTAAAACAATATTTGAAGAGTTCATTTGCAAGAACAGATAACTCTATTTTTGCAGATATTGTCTCAGGTAGATGATGAAAAAGTGGGTTTTCGAGATGGAGATCTGTTTTTGCAAATAAACTCTTTTTTTGAGTGTAAAATGCTGAGTTTGAAAAATGATTCTAAAAACTTTGCAGAAAATCTACAAACATCATTCAAACTAAAGGACTTTTTTTTTTTTTTGGTAGAGTAGCTCATAAAGAAGTAGTTCAAAATTTGGGAGATATGCGCAAAAAATAGAAATCAGTTCCTTTCTCAGATACAGTGTAGCATCTTCTAAGCCCACTACTTCACACATTATAAGCAGTAGGTGATTTTAGGGGGAGAAAGAGGAGATGCCTTCCTCCTTGTTGGCAAAATAACCAAAATGCATCTCCCTTGTTGATCTGCCACCTCCTCTCTCCATCACATACTGCCAGAGAGAGTGCAGAGGCAGAGGGGTTAGTCTAGTGGTGAGTCACTGACCTTTGTTTTTTCAGACTAAAGTTTGTGCACATCAGAATCTGTGACCCTGAACTTGGCCCTGAACTACCAGCGGTCCAACTGAACTGTGCATTGATGGATTCATGGCGCTGTCCTTGGTGCTGAAGCAGCACACGGCTCGGTAATTGTGCATTTTCTCTCTCTCTCTGTTTCTCTCTCTCTCTCTCAGCACCTCCTTTTGATCAGCTTCACCTTGGATTTGTAATATTCTCTGAACCATATACTATAAATACTCAATCTATACTATATTGTAGCACACTGTATATAAAGTAGTGCCACCTTTTAACTTGTGGCTCTTGACCCGCACAAAGAAAAGACAGAACATCACCCCGGTTCTTTGCGTTGGTCACCAGGGAAATACAGAACTGAGTTTACAATTTTTGCTATTGTTTTAAAACTGTTTGGACTTCATCGCTTTTACTCCTCTCAATTTGATACCAAAAGCAACAGTTATTTTACCACATTCTTCACTAAATCTTGTCAGATTAGATAAAAAATTAAAGGCTCATCTTTTCTCCATCACCTTCAGTTCATCATCAAGCTGCTCAAATTGTGTCACCCCTTAGTTTCTTTTAATCTTCCTTCTGTTTTGTATTGACTGGTTGCTTGATCTTACTTAGTTTTCTCTTTTGCTTTTGTAGTTCCGCCTCTTCACATGTTCCACTTCCTCTGTGCATTAATATAACTTTAACTTTGTGCCTCCTTTCTTCTGTAGTTCGTCCTCTCTACCTGTATCTCCCTGCAGGCGCTCCTGGATCTAAAGCTGCACAGTTGCTGTCCAGTGTTGGATGATCTTTTATTTGTTTTAGCCTCACCCTGACAGGTCGAGGCAGACGGCTGACTTCCCTGAGCCCGGTTCTACTGGACGTCTTCTCCACTCCACTGTTGCCAGGATGCTCTCTCATAGGGATTCGTTGAGGTTTCCGTGTATAATTTAGGGTCTTCGCATTCATTTTTAACTTAGGTAACTTTAAACAATTACTCATTTTCTAGGGTCTGAACCTTGCTATTTAATTTAGTCTGCTAAATTAGTATTATTTTCATTTTGTAGGGTTTAAACAATAATATTTTAATCACTCAGAAGAATTCACATCATAATTAATACTGTTGGGTCTTAACCTCAATATGCAAACTTGTTCGGTAAATTCAGAACACCAGTCCTGTTTCTGTATTGGAAAGCACTTTGGCTCAACAGCTGTTGCTTTAAATGTGCTATATACATAACGGGGACTTGACCTTCATGATCAAAGTGACAAGAAGCAGCTTGTAGGAGGGTTTTAAAGACACACTGCTGCCCATAGTAGTCCTATTATATTCCCTTAATATTTTTATGATCATTCAGTGGCTGTTGAATGTGCTGCTGAAAATACACCCCACCTCTAAAACCAAATATTGTATTGGAGACATGAAGATAGCAGATCTTAGATGTGTGGTTCAGTGTGACTATACTACACTCAACTGCTGCAGTTAAATAATTAGAGATACTATCAAAACTACAGTAGGTTTTGGAAAACAAGCATGATTTAAATGTTCACATCCAGCAAAAGAACATGCAAAATATGTATTCACTCAGACAGAAATCGCACTAAAACTACAATATCGAGAATATGGGAGCAGAGGGATGCTCATAGTGGATCATCCCTCTGTCACAAAACGACAAATCGCATTCTGGTTATATTTTTGTTAGAAGGCCTCTAAAGGCAGATGAGCTGTATGAATAAATAAATGAGTCAGTATCTAAAAGTTCTACTTTCTGGGTACCGTGTCTGAATTTTATTTTATTTTTTCTAACATTTAGAGAAGGTTCTTTGCATCCAGGTTAAAATTTTCGGTCCCGTTATATAAATTAAACAACTACAAAACAAATACCACCACCCCAACAGGAACACGTGGTGACATTTTGAACGGTGCTTGATTTGATGAAAGCTGCTATATATAGCGAGCTTTAAGCCCGTTTTGATTAACTTCTGCTCGGATGTTGATCACAGAATTCACCTGATATCTGACATCTACCGGCTCTAATGAAGACGCGGCTAATGTGGAAGCAGCACATCTCTGGTGTCATCATCCCTCGGTGTACTTCCTGAGCAAATAACAAACATCTCTTTCTCAAACCTAAAGGCTACTGTAGGCAGCTCAGAGTGTGTGTGTTTGCGTATATATTTGTGTGTGTGTGCAGGCTTGTCCTTGCTTCACTGTGTTCTGTGAGTTTGATCTCACTCCGGCGAGGGAAGCATTACATTGGTAGCCTGTGCTTGCTCAACACCCCGGGTCTATCTAATCTCTGCTGCTCCGAAACATCCCATTCAATTTCTTCTGTTGATAGATGCCAGTGCTCTTTGAGCCCTCCGGGAGCACATTCTTTCTCTCCCGCTTGTCTCCGACTCTCTGCTTGTGTAAGACCACTCCAGATTCATCAGGTCAGCCCCCTATTGTAAACAACTGGGATCTGATTCGCGCCGATCCAAAGGTCAGGAGAAGGGCTGATAATCAACATCCAGACACCAGTCTCTTGTCTGCGCCGGCTGCGTTTATGTAGAGCGTTATGCGGCGCGAGCGGGCAGGACACTTTTATGAAGAGTGATACCCAATTACAATCACGCACTCCCGAGCCAGCGACTTGTTTAACGAGAACTGACAGTTAACTGAGAGCTGTCAATTAGAGTTAGAACACAGTGATACATTCTAATTGTAGTCCTCATTAAGAGATGAGTAAGAAACAGGCACTCTATCGCCGCTTCTCTTCCTGTTTAGGAGCTCGCTTTGTTAATTTACAGACACAGGTGCCACTCAGTGTGTTTCAAGCTGTTTTACAGTTAGATGAAGTTTTTCAGCAGCATCAGCAGATCATCTATAAACATACTGAGGTGACTTTAGCACAGTGCTGAAATCCAAAATATCAAATACTGTTATACTCAAAATATGTCCTTATTGGGAAATTATTTCGACACAGAAGGAATCGTGGATAGAAGATGAGTGTGGTATCAAACTGGAGATAAAAATGAAAGCTTTCATTTGCTTCTTCTGACCAACCGCCTCTTCTACATGCTGATATGACCCTTAAAAGTTTACCCAAAATGCACATTTGATAGTTTTCTCATGAATTCAGAGATAACACATCCACAGAAACAGTGTCTTAAACATTTGACTCATGCAGTTTTAGTACAGAAACCACAGAAACTATGCCCCTTGACAGTTATGCTCAAGGTTGGTTACAGGGAAAGAAAAAAATGTACTGGACAAAAACAAGAGTTCATCTGAAGTGGATGTAAAATTAGAGCTCAGATGTGTTTTTCAGCCCTGAAAATGTCATGTTGCCGTATCCTTTTACTACAAAGTCATGAGGTTCAAAACACACATTATGTACTTTAATAGGCCATAAACAAAACTATTTGCAGAATGAGGGTCACATCTTGTGTGGCTTCATTAAATACAATAAAGTTATTGTGCAAAGAACAATCAGCTGATTCTAAGTGGGTCATGTGGGATTTTTTTTTTTTACATTAGTTCTATATAGTATTAACCAAGAAGGCTTTCTTTACTTTACTTTAGGAGGAAAAAGTGTACATAAGAGTCGTGTTTATCGAGAGTATAACCCCATAACATTGCAGTAATAGAAATCACTGCACAGTAAAGCAGAATATCATCCTGAAGGCACGTTATTCACGATTGTCGATTTTTATTTGCTCTACGGTACTTTTCAACCAGCATTGCCGAGTCACCCGGCCACCTCCGAGACCCTCCCCAGGAGACCCGGGAGTCTTTTTTACCACTGAGCACGGAGGACAACAGTCATGGGGCTCTGCAGGAACAAACATTGTGGCAAGGGCGGCCTGTGGAGGAGGGTCGGAAGGCCAGAGGGGAACAGGAGGTGAGAGGGAATATAATAATGACAAACAGATTCCCGGCCGCAGCGCCCACAGCTCCGTCTCTGGGGTAACTTCCCACCTTGTCATGTCCAAAGACCTTGCATAATACTCAGCAAAGGGACAGGAGATAGCAAAAAAAAATAAAAATGTGTGTGTATGTGTGCTTGCCTGTGCATTTCTAATTTATTGGCCCACTGATTTGCTGATGTGTATGAGGCTGCATGCAGCTCGGAGCACTAGCCTGGAACATCCGGGCCTTGCTTCATTAGGTGCTCACGCCCTTAAGCTGCTGACATTTCCAAACTTGTTCCCCAGTCTTCTAATTGTCGTGAAAAATTGGACACAGCCACCAACGCTGGGAAGCTGCACGCTGGATCTCGATTTGATGGCATTTCTCATGTGTCAAAGTGTCATTTACCTTGCTGGATGAATGTGGAATGTAAAAAAACGCACCTTCATGTGTCCACGATACAGGATGAAGGAAGTTAAATCGAATGCAGTTGAAGGTATAAAATATCTGACATGATTGGTAAAAGATGCTTTTAGAGATATTACAAAAAATGATCCTAATACAATAAAAACATGGAAATTATGTGGGTTTTATTATGGATAACAATTGGGTTATCAATAACCTCAGTGGTCGTAGAGTTCTCTAGAACACTGAATCCAAAAAGCTGCCTTTTCCTTCAAATATAATTCTAAGCGACACTTTGGATTGTTTGTAATACACTTTTTTTTTTACTGCTCAGTCCCACCACTCACATGAGCAAATACACGCAGCAACAAATCAATCAACAGTGCAAACGAATCCATTCTTGTCCAAATAACAAATGTCATTGCTAAATGTCAACACAAAATGATTACGTTACTGCGGAACACGCAGCGGTTTGTATGTGTTTTAACACGAAAGTTCAAATTTAATAAATACTGACAAAAGTTTACAAGGACAGTATTAGTGGCTGTGGATTACAGCTTGGTCACGAGTCAGTATCCATCATCAGTAACAGGCTTTGTTCCTGTTTCTACACTACAGGCCTCATTCACAGTGAATTAACGTGAAATACATTTTTGTTCTTGCAGATGCAGTATTTCAGAACTATTGCCAGTTTTTAATGTAAACACTGCAAGTGCAAAATATCCCCAGACAGTCCCCTGAGCTTCATCACATTACCAGTAATGCTTCCATAGACTGTTTAAATGTGTCCAGGAGGGGTAGAAATCACACACAAAAAAAGAAAAAACAAACAAAAACAGAACAGCAGATGTAGTTTGTTCATGATCACATGAAACAAAGAAGTTACTCTGCAAACATTCACTCTCGTCCACTGACACTGTGCACCTTTCAGGATTGGCTGTAATTGTGCCGACACATCCCAAGAAAGACAAGCGCAGTTGTTCACAGTAACGCAGTGCAAACAAACATGAAAATACATCCGATCATACATATAAAGCAACACACACTGTTCAGCAGTACTGAAGAGTAAAGGGCAGACAGACAGACTTACTGAGTGGATGGTTGAATGAGTGAAGGAGGGTGGCAGCTACAGAGTAGCCGGTTTGTTTTAATTAATGAAGTATTCATTTAGGACATAAAGACAAAAAATGAAGAAAAATGCTGATCAGAATTTGCTTCAGAATGTTGAAAGAATGTTGCTGTTTGATATTGCTTGTTTTGCTGCCCAAAACCAAAGGATGAATCATCATCAAACAAAAAAAAAGCATACCTGAGAAGCTGGAACCTGCAAACGTTTCACATTTTTTTTGGTTTGAGAAACGATAGTTAGCCTCCGTGTACCACTTTGGTCCAGAGTTGAATATCTCAACAACTATTGGATGGATCACAATAAAATAAAATAAAATAAAATAAAATAAAATAAAAATAAATCTGGCATTCACTTTCCCCAAAGTATAACTTCGACTGACTTTGGTGATCCATTGACCTTTCATCTACTGAAACGTCTTGACATCTTCACATTTTTCACCAGCAGCTTAGCCAACTGTAACAATTCCTTCCTAAGCAGCGTAAACAAATGCACACAAAAGACAGCTTAACTTTTTAAACGTATAACTAAGCCAAATTTATGACCTCACATTTTCTTTAACTGTCCATCATCACCATCAGCAGGTCAAAACTTTGATTTGTTCTACTTGAAATGTCCACCAGCCTCAGCTGTATTTCATATTTGCTACTGATTAGTAAATGTGAGCATCTTTAAATAAGGTGAATACAGTAAAATTATTAAAAATCTGCATGTTTACAATTGTTATTGTGAGCATGTTAACAAGAGATTAGCAGTTCGCTCAAATCATAGCTGTACAACCTGGCAAAACGGCTCCCAGGCTGCAGCGTGTGTCTTGCTGGTTAGACGGTTTGAAAATTAAAGGTGCAGTCTACAATTCTGAATAAAGATTGTTGATATTTAACCTACTTAGTCTGTTAAAATGGCATGGCCAGACTTTTCATCTCCTTCCATCTCACCTTCCTTTTCCTATTTTCCTGTGCATGAGCTTGAACAGGACATGCAGGATTAGTATTGCTGACTCTACCTTTAATCAAATACTAAAGACTGCTAACCGAAAGGGAGAAAAAACACTGAATTAAAATGACTCTAAGTAAGCTACAAGTCCGCTGCGTTACCATCCACAAACACCTACAAGTACGTTCCCGCTAAAGAGAGGAATCACATTTCAATCGGTGTTTCTGCGTTCTCCACGTCCTGCTGGGCTCCGTTCATCTCAGTTTGCTCCATTTCCGCCTCCGAGACGTTCCCCTGGTCCTGGTTCTCTGCGGTACTTTGGTTCCGCTCCCTGTTTTTCGCTCTCTTCTCTTTAGCCAGCATGCGGTAGTTGTAGACGTTCATGACGAAGAGAAAGAGGCCGCCAGTCACGATCACCGAGCCGCACATGAAGAAAAGGTACTTGTAGTCACCGAACTTGTCCACGAGTGACCCTGTGGGGGCGGGAAGAAGAAGTATTTCAAACCGTTCATACAACATTATGTCTGTATAAATGAAAACACACGGGCAACTGTTGTACGCCGTGACAAGCTAAAGGACAATATAGAGGTAGTGTCGTATCTAGATTCAAGCGAGTTTGAAGGTGAAGTGCGAGACCAAACTCAGATTTGGCTTAAATGTGTGTGCAAGGGAGGGGAAAAGTGAGCGCGGGCCAATTTGAGAAGAGCCATTTCCGAAATGACAGAGGGCCATTACACCCTTCCTGGCTCTCCTGCATCTCTGGGAAGGCAATTTGGATGGCTGCTACCAAAACGAATCAGAAGAGAGGCCCATTCTCAAAGCCATAAATATCGAGCCCAAGTCTGCAGAAAAGTGACAAATGTGGTTTAGATCAGATTTAAGCCTGCAGGTTTTTCGGAGTCTTAAGCGCACCTCGCCTCAACCTCCCCCCTTTTCCCTCCAGACATGGATCGATGGGCGGGTTGTCGCTATCTCTCTCTCAGTCTCAGCGTGTATGACTGTCCATCTCGCTGGATTACAGTTCCTCCTTTATGCCACTTTAGAGCCTCGTGGAATCAATGGAAGGTTGATTTAATAGTTAAAAATATTCTCTTTTTATTTTTCTTTCTTTCATCAGTCGTTCTAACCTCTCATACCGTAGAGTATCTCGTTAGCAAAGATTATTTTGTTCATCGTCATCAACCGAGGGGTATTTTCGACAACCCAGGTTTGTTTTTTGTGAAATTCCGAGTGAACTGATTTCACCCAACTTCCAAGAAATCTTTTATTCTGCCTTTGCAGACGTATTGGGTTATTACGGAGCATGATACAGCATCTTATCAAAGAGAATGCTAAATTACGCTGCAATTGAAAGGGTTTCCTCGGTAGCTCTCCTCAGGTACACCGCTGTCTAACTTTACAACTATTGATGATGTTTGTGTGTGTGTGTGTGTGTGTGCGTGGCGAGGTATTGTGGGGGTAACTTTGAATTTGGATCAAATTCAACCGTCTCAGTGCAGGCTGATTGATAGCACTCATCTGGTGCCTGTACTCCAATGACCATCACCCTCATTAAGACAGCCCTTGATTGGCTGAGCAGTAATTAAGTCCATCTGGCATAGTCACCTCTTTTTTTTTAATGTATTCACAGCTTAATTATGGCCCAGGTACAGGACTTTAATGACGAGAGTTTGAACTGAGCGTCATTAGACACCCAAAGCAAAAGGCTAATTACACCCACTTACCTAACTTCCTCCTAATTGGATTGACCTGAAGGTTTTGGGGAGCAGTAACAAGCAGATAAGGGAAATATAACGATTGTGCCCTCTGGAGGAGATTGTTAGATGTGCAGGAAGGCACTTATTTACCCTATTAAATGAGCGCCTCAGAACAGGGTCGCTCCAGACAAACTGGGGGGGGCCTGCAGCTTTTCACTTCATTAAAAGTCAGGTTGGAGGCAAAGACTGTCAGCAGGATGACATGACCAACCGATAAAGTCGTGTGCAGCTACACTACTGTACATCCTCAGCTTACACTAAACAGGCCTGTCGGAATAAGTGTGAAAGCCAACCCTGATTGGTGCACAGCTTGAGCAATAAGTTAACGAAGCATTAGTGGTGAGAAAGTACATTTGTGTGCTATTCAGAAGATTGAAAATACTGTATATAGTGCAGATTAGGGATGTACATTTTAAACAACTTCCATCAATCAATAATAGATGACTAGCTGTTAAAACAGACTAAACACAGTCAAGTTTCTCCACATGTTAATATGGCCGTTTTTAAATCACAGACATTTCCTGTTTGCTACAAAACCAGCTCACTTAAATCAGAAATTTGAGGAAAAGATTAAATAAAAGCCACATATGTTGATCCATGCAGTACATTAAACAGTTAAATTACTTCAACAGAACAGGCCCTCATTGATTTATACAAAGACACAGTTTCATAAGCATTCCCTGACTCCAAGGCACCACTTGCTACACGAATGCTTCCCAGATTAAGATGGGCTCAGCCACCAAAAGCCATTAACTGCTACAGAAGTCTCCGTCATGGTGGCCCATTGCCAGAAAAACCCCACAATGCTCTTGGCCACACAAACACTGACAACCTACTTAACTATCCAAAGCATTTAAAATTGAAATACAGTGTAACTTAAATAGCAACCACTGAACTCCGAATTTACCTACTTGGGATTTTGAACATTCCCATGGTTATTTTAACAAGGGGACTGCCCATAGTCTGAGCGACTGCCTCAATCAATCAATTAACAAATAATCAACGTCCAACGTGTAGATTTTGAGGTGGAGTCTTTGGAGCGCAGAGTTATTGCCCTGCAGCTGTTGTTTAGGAGCAATGGAGCAAGACAGCCTTCATGTGGTTGCTGTAAACAGCTGCAGCAAACAAAATTCCCAACAGGGGCTACATGGAAAATAATTACTTGTTGGTTTGTTCTATTCCATCCAGCTTAGTCATTCCACATAAAACGTATTGATGTCAGTGGCCACAGCAGCACATGATTTATCAGCCAGCACATGAGTACATTTCCAAACTTGCTAGATTGTGACATACTAGGATTCCTGTAAGTTTACAAAATGTGGCAACAACTTGTTTCACTATTTATTATTATTTTCTTTTTTTAAATGAAATTAGTCTTAATATAGGGCTGCAAGGTGGCGCAGTTGGTTAGCATTGTTGCCTTGCAGCAAGAAGGTTGCCGGTTCGCGTCCCGGTGGGGGCACCGGAATCTTTCTGCGTGGAGTTTGCATGTTCTCCCCGTGCAGCGTGGGTTCTCTCTGGGTTCTCTGGCTTCCTCCCACACAGTCCAAAAACATGTTGAGGTTAATTGGTGATTCTAAATTGTCCGTAGGTGTGAATGTGAGTGTGCTTGGTTGTCTGTCTCTAAGTGTAGCCCTGTGATAGACTGGTGACCTGTCCCCTGCCTTCGCCCTAAGTCGGCTCGGTTAGGCTCCAGTCCCCCGCGACCCTAGTGAGGATTAAGCGGTGTATAGATAATGGATGGATGGATAGTCTTAATATATGGTAAGTGATCACTATAATGATCAGGATGGTGTCGGGGTGTTTGAGCCTCTAAAGGTCGGGTCAAAAGATGGCATATTGGTTACCAGTTGGTTCTGAAACATAATACATTCTCATTGCAGGGATAGCTTTACCAGCAGCACGGAGCTTTAGTTCTGCCTCTTTTATTTTGGAACAGTCAAGAATGTTGATTAAATCATGTAGCCAGAACTACGGCTGTCAGATACTGGAAAAAAACATGTTTTTTGTATATATGAATTAACATAGGTATGTTCAAAAGATAAATTGAACAACTATTTGTGGTGGTTTTTGGTGCTAATTTAAATGATTAAAGAAACTATTTGTGTCGCTTCGTTTCCAGGCAACAATTAGAAGACACTGCTGACAGAGAACCTTTTATGGGGGATAGGGGTCATCTTTCCTGTAGCTGAAATATTTCTATAAAACTGATGCTGAATTTTACCGTGAGGCAGACCTCTCTTGGAGATTAGTGAAAGAAAATAAAAACTGTTTTTAAATCAAGGAGCAAATAAGTTGTAGCACGATGCGTTTAATTTAATTTTTCTTCACATTCCACTTTGCGATGTGACACATTGCTTCCCGAGCCAGAACATAGCTGCATGTATTCAATTCAAATTCAATTTTTTGTGGAAGAAAAAAAACAAACTATTTTGCATGTGTGTGAGGTTTTCAATTATTTATATCCACTCACAATTTTGGGTTCAGACAGAAAAACAACCCTTTACTCCCTGTCCTTGCCACACTCACTCACACCTGAAGCTCACCCTTGTTTTAGCCCCACTCACCTGCTGCTGTGTTTCACCTTATTCATAAAATGTATGAATGCTAGATAAATCAACATTTGCAAACATCCTCATTCTTGCAGCCAAAGCATGACTTACACTACAACCCCGGCAGCATGGAAACCGTTTACAGTTTGTTAACACCACAACCTCTATTTACAGAGCGATACTTGAAGCTAATGGGCTTTAACTAGGGACACACTATAGTGGATTTTTGCCAATATGCCAATGTTTTCCAGCTCATTTTGGCTGAATGCAGATCCCAATATATGCACGTTTTCCCACCTAATGGCAGAGAACATCAGGTACTTCCTGTAGTGGAATTAAAACATCATTATCACGATGGCCCACTGGCAGATGCAGACGTGAAATACAATTCTTTTCAAATGTCCACTAGACAGACATAAGAAAAGCTCGTCGACCTACATGTGAAGCGTGTCACGTATCTTTTTATGGAACATTTTCAAACAGAACTGTAAACTTTTAGCCTGCTGGTCAGTGTGTACTGATATTCCATTTTATAGTCTTTAACCAGTCAATGCCACTGATGTGCTAAGAGCAGCTAAAATTTGCACAGGTTGCTCCTTTACCTAACACATAACTCCTTGCAAACACTCAGCTCCTACCTTAAAAATGCAAATACAGCAGCGACAAGACTCATGATTGTTCACTTATTTTGTTAGTACATAATACTGATGCAGTCCAAGTAAAGAATGTACACAAACCACAGCTTCTTAGATTTGTGTTCCAACTGTTCTACTACTTGTATAGAGGCCAGAACCAAACAAGACACGTGTGGTAAATGCCTGCGAACTGGCAGCTTCTTTACAGCAGTAACTCACCGTGACAAATGACTACTTTTTGTGGTCCTCTCATACAACCCAAAGCACCCTGACTCATCAGTGCTAATCCAGCTCCGTCTTACAGTAATGACACTCTAGTAAGCAACTGAGCTCTGCTGCAGCATAATGCACAGGCCATGAATGAGACAGAGATAAACACACTAATATATATATAATTCAGTTTTGTTGCATTGTTTGCAAAGCAGCTTACGTCAGAATGGTTATTTATGACTTTGGCAACAATGGAGTTTTTCCTCCCCAAGCGTATTTGTATGTTGTAATGTGAGCTCACATTATTGGCCTCAGTAGGAGAGAGAAGCACTATAAGGCAACCGTAAGTGAGATTCTTGTTGTGCCAGAGTAATGGTAGG